ATCATTAGCTGCCATCGATACCTCCAGTATCTATTTGCTACCCTTCATCGCAATGTACGGAAAACTATACCTGATGGTAGTCAAGCTTGAGTACGGGTTAATGAATCAGTAGAGAAATGTTCTGGCTTATAATTCACTTTGCATATATACGAAGTTTTTGGCTCTGATTTAAATGACGCGGAAGTTATTTAGCTGTAGATCACATTACGGCGAAGAAACAATGTTCTTTCCTACCTACTGAAACCTGACAGATGAATCATGTTGTCAGGATTTTTAACTAGTCACCAAAGCACTGGTTCAGTGAAATAAGATGTGTATTGGGTTCACAGGTTTGACTAATGACTTTTCGCCGGGTGGGGAAGTCCGACGAACGCGCAGTTCGAGGAAACATACTTCTGGTGGCGCCAAACACAGATCGTACCACAAGGTGCGGCAAATAACATGGGAGAAAACTGGCAACTGAAGCGCATTTTGTTTGTCATTTTCATGACTATACAAAAGCAGTTAGGGAACACAAGGTATCAGTAAACATCGTGATCACTGTGGACTCCATTCGCAGTGACAGGTCAATCATGGGTGACAGCTAACTGGGTACACGGGCCATTAACCCGCTTCTTTCAAAGATGCATGACTGAACAGTAGTTCCCTAATGTGTGGAAGCAGGATATAACTAGGCCTGTGGAAAGTGCAATAAAATGTGGTCTAGAGTTCCACACAGGCGACCATGAACTCAGTTATTTTACATGGGATCCAGTCAGCATTAATCAACTTATATGTATAACCAACATATAAGTGATTCAAGATGAACTCGGCTGTTCAGAGCAAACTGTGAAGGTGTCCAAACCGAAAACCAATGTGTTGGTCTCTTACGGAGGGCGATACGTTAGTTCGACCTTTCCAGCTTTCCACAAATGCTCAATGTGTACGTAAAGCCCCATGTAAAATATGCGATTCAAGTCTAACAAACGTAGTTAAGACGAGGTCTGGCTACACTGGAGACCAGACAGAGAAGAGCAACCAAAAGGTGAAGGGATTGCGTCATCCGCCATGGCAACTACGACTGAAAACCATAGGAATGTACAGCGGATGTTATTGGCATCTACGGAACGATGTCCTTTTGAAGGATCAGATTCTATAAAACCATAGTTACACTTGTCGCTAACTCCTGAAACTTATCCACGATAAAAAACTGAGAGGTCACCAGCTGAAATTGACCCCGAATCCAGCCGAACGTACACAGTGGTTGGTCAACAGCTGCATCCCGCGCCTTTCGTGCGCGACCTCGTTGTGCTGTCAAGCTGCGACCTAAAGTCCATTGACAACACGAATAGGCTGTACCAAAACAGCCTTCGGATGGTTTGGGCCCTCAGGCGCAGCTTCAACACTTGGTCCGAAGAGATTGTCACTCGCCTCTTTGTCTCGATAATACGAACAATGTTAGAGTACGGCTGTCCCGCGTATTGTCCCATCACCCGGGGCGAGGTAGAAAAGATTGAACGGGTGCAGCATGTAGCCACCAGGCTGATTCCCAACCCACGAGGTATGCCATACGAAGACCGATGTAAGAAACTAGGGCTGTACACCCTAGCTTATCGTCGGCTGAGGGTTGACCTCATCATGACTCACCGGATATTACATCTGAGTGATTACCCCATGTTGAGACAACTGCTTCATATGCGCACACCAAGCTGCATGCAAGGACACCGGTATAAACTTATCGTACCGGATTTGAAGGGGGTCGCTCACCAACACTGCTTCGAACGCAGAGTAGTGAATGTCTGGAACGACCTGCCACAGCACATAGTAGTGGCGAACTCAGTGTATGAATTCAAGAAGCTCCTAGACAAACACTTTGCAGAGGCAAAATATAGAGAGCGGAATGATAAATAAGGAGTATATGTCCAAGAGCGACGAACGATGCAGCTACACAGAGAAAGCTCTACTCGCTGCTTCGAAGTAGTATTCAGTATTCAAATTTGTCAGGCGTGGAACGTTTGTTGGAATTTTCTGATTTCTACGCCCAAGTTATCCATTTTCTAAAACGTATCGATGATGCATTTCATCGCCTGCATTACTAAATTTGAATTTCGCTCATCTAGTGACAGCAGAACGCAGACAAACATTGTGCTCACAATCCCCTACGAAATGGGAGTAATCTGCTTTCTAATGAGTAACGGAGATTTGGACATAATGTTAAACGTAGCTCTGGGGCCAAGCACAATTCACTGCAGTTTGTAACTAGCATGGAAATGGAGGATGAGCCGCGCTATATGGTAGTCAACCGTCTGTCATTCGTGTCCGCCGTCGTCACCCATGACTTAATGGCACAAGCTGCTGGCATCCGGAAGTCATGGGGTCGGAATTCGCCAGGAGTCCGAGGAGCACGCGTCAATAAGGAGACCCAGAAGGGAGAAACAGCTTTCTGGTGCTTTTCCAAAAGTGTGGAATCCTGCCTGATTAAGAGAAGATTGCGAAGAACTACATCTGCAAGTAATCGGATTTACTTGTGTGTTAGGCTGGATATTATGGTCAGTCTAGGGATACGTGTTTCAGTTTACTCTCACACAAACCATCGCTAGAAAGCTGCCAAAGCTTGCATGTCTCACCTATACCGTTGTTCCATTGCTTGCATAAATAGCGACGTGTGGTTATCTAGCCGGTCTGAATATTCAAGGTAGGTTTGGGGTACCGTACACAGCTTATTCAGCTCACGATCTTGACCTCCTTCAAGGCAAGCAAAGAATACCCTGCTGGAGTTAATTGCGCGTAGCCTAACCGAGATCTAACTCGCCATGGACTGGCTAGTTATAACGTTATACCTTGACCATCGACGGGTCAAAGCACGGGAAAATCACCTGGGACAGGATCCAGGAAATCTGTTAACGCGTACCAAGGTCCCGATCAGACTGGCCCCGTGCATCTACCCATGCTTATCTGTGATGCGGCGGATGGTGCAACGCAAGGCATCCATGGTCCCTCTGTAGGAGCAGGCCTCCCATGGCCGTCTCCATGGAGGCCGCAGAGCTAGGTAAATCTGGGACCGGATACCGCCAATCCAATATGTTACCAGAGCTGGACTAGACTTGAGCTGGAGCTTGACTTGAGGGTAACCATCAGTCATTACCAACCATTGACAATTTTCCCAAGACTTCACTGCACTGTAGTGCAGAATAGACACAAAATATATCGATATGGTATGGGTGCCAGAAGGGTGAGCTTCATCACGAAGATAATGATACTTCGCAGATAACGCAGCTGCATCGAGAGTAAACCAAGTTTTCTGATTTGTAGTGCTCTTGGAAACATCTATTTTGACGCACTTGGAGTAGCGTGGAAAACAATCATCTAAAGCTAGTTCCACTCAAATGTGTGCCTAAAACTGTAGTAGTTCATCCGCAGTCTGAACGGGAGGGGAGGTAACCAGATTCCGCTTATGACCGCCTGAGTCCAGTATAATATTTGAAGTCGGGTGAGCATTATCAAGGTAACTGGGACAAAACATACCTACTCTTCAGTGTTTCCTTGCTAACAGATAAAGAAGGTCGCACATGGAAAGTGTTTTGGTTTCACGTTTTCCCTAAACTCGATATGACTGAAGCTAGTCGTAGAATCGAAACCAACACTTACTAATTGTGGGATAAACAACCATTTACACCAGTAAGTTCTAGTGAAATTTGAGTACTCATCGCCCCAGGTAAAATAATTACTAAAATCATATCCCGAACACACAGCATTTATGCGTCTTACAGAAATACGTTGAAGCGTTCCTTTTTCAGACAATTCTAATATCACAGTAGTATGGACGGAATTCAGAACTCAAACCCATGCCAAATTATTCGGCTGTGACTTGGGGAAAACAATTTTGGAAAAACCACCTTCCATAGCGCAGGAGCGTGATAACAAGAAACCTATCTCCTTGGGGCACTGTATTTATGTTATCACGACACAAAGACAAATGTGGTTGACAAACAAAAGTAGGAAAAAGCCAGTTCGTGAAGAAAAAAGCTTTTATAGATCTGGCAAGCGCTTCAGTTACCAATTAGATGGACATGCTTGTTCAATTAAAATGGACAGCTGGCGTAGTATCCTGATGAGACTGAGAAGAGAGAAACATTACGAATAGCAGCACAATTTGCTGCGAGTAACTGTCCTTTTCCTGCTAATACGCACTGATATACATATATATATATATATATATATATATATATTCCACCTACCCACAAGGAATTAAATTGCTCCTAAACGTAGCGTTTCTAATCACACAAAACCCTTGCGTTTTATATAAGCATATGTAATTAATGAAATAAGTAAATAAAGAAAAGTTAGGTTTCGTTGTTGCTGTCTCCCATCTCTGTACTCCACTATTGACGCTTTTCTCCTTGTTTGGGATTATCAGGCAGATAGCGTGTCGTAATCCAAGACATACGGCAGGTAATCTAAAACCCAACATTTAACTTCTGAAAACTGTGTCAAGCACTGCTCGCGGAGCTCAATGGTTTAGTGATCATGGCGAGCGATGCCAATCACTAGGCGGCGAGTTACACTCCCAAATCGGCTACCTCTACCTGATGAGTCTAAACCAAGACGAAACCGTCGGTTGCAGAGTGCAGGGATGGGATAGACAAACACAGAAACCCACCACTTCTGTGCCGGTCCCAGTGACCATATTGCAGTTGTTGACTTCAAAGTCAACCGGGGCCCCAATTAAGTATGTCGCAATCCAAGACACAAGGCAGATACTCGGAAACCCGACAGTCAAATACTTAGGTGATTTTCAACGGAAAATCCCCGCAGCATCACGCATAACTATGTTGCTCTAACCACTAGAAACACTTGAGACGAACGCTCTATGCCTTCTGCAATTTAAAGTACAGTCTCACAAGTTCTGGTTCACATCTATGGTAAAACTTGTACTATCAACAAGGAAGCTAATTGGTAATGAGTTGATTCAAAGAGCGAATCATCTTGCAACATCGTTACTAAGTGATAACCAAACTCACTGATATCTGACACAGGATCGCTCAGCGAGGAGACAATGAAACCCAATTTGGAAATGGAATATTTCTGACCGAAGTAGATGGTCACGTTTCGATGAATCTTGACCACAGGTGGCATGGATTCGTTGGCGGGAGAAGACTCAGTCAGCTTCCAGACTGGTTCAATGCACAATTCCTCGTTGTAAGGAACACTGGGGGCACGGTTGTGGTATGGTTTGAGCAGGCTAACATCGGCTATACAGGAAGAAGAAGGATGCACGGCAGGACAGAATGTTATTTGACATCAGTGCAAAACTTATCTGAGGCAGGTAGCAAAGGAAGTATAGAAAGTATAGTTAATAATTTCTTGTTACGCAGTGGCAGTGGAAAATGAATATCTGTCATTTATGTTGCAAAATACAGACAAACTGACAACAGGAACCACGGTGAACACCGATCACATCGTAATAGCGGTAGTCACATGAGGCGCAATGTATAATCAAAACTAAACCTAGCACTCAACCCGTTGCATACAGCCATTAAATTCCAATCTTAACTGCTGGGTTTTATTGAATGATACGCCGTTAAACTCCTGTATGCAGGACGGTTAGAGGAACTTATTAGGTAACAGATTGCATTGGTAATATGAGACAAGAAGCTCAAAATGATTTCCTGTGGACAGACAACATAAAACACATGAGTAGGGGAATTTAGATGGAATCTTTTCACAAGTTATCACCAAAACTTTCATGTCAGCTTGTCATTCACAAGACTGGAAAAGCACTAGACGGTCGGCTAGGCCTGCTGGGACTTGGCAGCATCACCATCCGCTCGGCTCCACTGGAAATCGGATCCATGATTTCTGGACACTATCGGCTTACGCCACTAGACGGCAGTTTATACCAGTAAGCCATGAGGGACGACGGCTCACCGTCATCGTTCGAAATCTAATTGTGTGGTAGCGTGACTCATTCTCCATTATCAAGCAAGTTATGAGCGCTGTGGAGGACCCGACTGCCCTTTAGGAAAACAACCTCCCACAACAGTATCTACGTACGGCCTAGCATTGGGGAATGCCATTTAAGGGTAGTTAGTTTTAACGCAATTATAAACTATGGTAGCAATAAGCGAATAAAGCAAACGTAGACTATCACTTTATTGGTCAGATCAATAAGTGCGACGGCATCAACAGTTGAATTAATTTACCACGGAGGTTACTATCCAAGAAAGGAATAGATTGAGTTCATTACAGCACGTAAGTTGTTACGTGCGTTACAAAGTTGTAGAGCTATATAGTAAGGTCACGTAGCGCACACTCATTGTCATAAGGCATGAAACCAATAGTGTTCTAGGGGGGGGCGGATTTCTGCTTATTTATACAAACACTTTTATGGGTCCACTTTTTCTAAGTCGTCAGTTGCGGACGTGCGCTACCGAATTTCTTTGACTTTTTCTGATCGATAAATACCGAGTAAAAAAGGGAAATAACTACCACTTCATTGTCCGAGGAGAGAGACCTCAGAAGAGCATCATCGGTACGATTCCGTGAAATGTATTACACTTCAACTCTGAATATCTCGCTATTGCAGATCAATCACCCTCTATGTTATTACGCATATTTTGGCTGGAACTAAACTTGCTAACTCATTAGTACTCCGTAGTGCATCTATGCAACGGTTCAAAGGCGCGAAAATGTTGGCAGTTCGAAGTGGAGCTTGCAACCTCAGCGAAGACGGCCCGCAAGAAGAGTTTTGTTTACGTGAAGCGGCGACTGAGGCCCACAAGTGATGTAGCTGTGTTATAGGACACTGACGAACAGCCTCTGACGTCCAGCACTAAACCTGCGTCCGTATTGGCGGAGCACTTCGCTTCCGTATTTACAAGTGCGCATGTGGCTATGCCGAGCTCGAGGTGTACAGCCCCTACTGAACTCGGGGGCCTGAATTGCGGTTGAGAAGACGTCCGCAGTCTACACGCCAGTCTTGACGGCGTGAAACCTGCTGGACCCGATAGACTTCACGCGCTAGTTTTAAAGTCCTTATCGGTAATTATCTCGCCTGCCATGACGGATTTGAACAACAGATTGCTGTCCGAGGGTGCATTGCCAAGCGACTAGAAATGCGCGTTAGTGAAGCCGATTCCAAAAGGTGGTAATCCACGCAATGTGGACAGTTACCGGCCGATTTGTCCAACCACTGTTTTGATGAAGCTGCTCGAGAAGATTTTGAAAAAGGGTCTTCTCTAGCTGCTGAAGTTGAAAGATCTTCTAACTCTGGCACAGCACGGATTCATGAAGGGCCGCTCATGCATCATCAACCTGCTGTTGTTGCGACAGGAATGTTTGAAAGCCTTGAACCGGGGAAGTCAGTGGATGTTGACTACATTAATTTCAGTAAAGGCTTCGATAAAATGAACTATGTGGCCTTGTGTTGTGTTAGTAGCTCACTGCACCAGTGGATCAGTGACTTCTTTATTGGGAGAAAATGGCGAGTGAAGGTGGATGACCACTTAACGGAATGGTATCCCTCCAATAGCGGTGTACCCAAAAGGCAAAGTGCTGGGGTTCATTTTACTCCTGATCCACATCAACGAAGTGCGTCAGCTTCTTCGGTCGCTTTGTGCAGTGTTTGCAGACGACTTGGAAATTTGGACGGTTATTGACTCTCCAGAAGTCGGTGGAGTCCTCCAACAAGACCTCGACCACCTATCCCGCTGGTCTGCAGAATGTAACCTACCGGTTAACCCTGTCAAGTACTCGTTACTGAGTCTGGGGAGGGGTGGTAATGGGCTGCGTGCACTCTGGCCGGACATCCGCTGCATCCCAGCAGTTCTGTGGTTGGATGTCTAGTGATGCGTATTACATTAGTCGGACTGGCATAAACACCAATTTTGTCACAAAACAAATTCCATTGCTTTAAATCATCTAGGTGTTTAATTCTTATTTTTGTATTGTACTCAGGAACGTAGGTGCATATAAGTGTCAAGGCCCCGTAGTTCTGTCTGGTCTTCGGTGAGGTGGGAAGCATGCTTATCGAGGGACTTAGTGACGTCTGCGCAGATTGCCCCATGCCCTTGACTCGGTTTGCGGCTGTACTGGGTGAGACTATTGTGGTCGCACTTCCATTATACCCAGCAGCAACGGTTGCATAGGTGGATCGGTCTTTAGATCGCTTCGGATTTCGTTGCTCGATCGGAAGAGTGGGTGTTACCGATGTTGTATCAGTCGATACACTGGATAAGAGGATGTGGGCGGTGGGGCTAGGCATGCTTCTATCGGTCGCGATGACGACTTGGTTCGTGGTTCTCCAGGTTTCTAGTAATGCTTGGCCGTTTGAACGCCTGGCCCTTTTCCTTGATTTAAAGGCGGCAACTGTAGGAGACGAATGAGGTACAAGGTGCGCTATTGTGGCTTCAAGCGAAGCAATTTTTGCATTAAAACGATGCTCAGTTTCGGCGACTAGGCTTTCGTATTTTATGTTAACGCTAGTACGCATTTTACTAGTGGAATCGTTGTGTACTTCGGAGAGAACCAAAGAGTCGGTTCTACAGACCTTGACGCACTTCGAATGGTACCGGTCTTGGCAATTGGTACAAAGCTACCCTCCTTTAAATACCTTAGCACAAGTTTGGTTAGCACAAAATACTTCGTTTCGGGTTACCCGTGTAGTGATCATGATGGCGAATTGCCGTAGAACGAAGCCAAGATGGCGGACACAGGCAGCAGTTGGGCCAATTGATGAGAACTTCGAAATTAGCCCGAGAACATCCACCAAATCTGTACAGATTGACATACACACCAAAAGAAAAATATCGGCGCAAAATTTACACAGAATAATCAAGTATAACACAGTAATCCCGAAGAAAAAGTGGAATCCAGAAAGGTTATCCAAAAATCCGCTGTGTTTATGGGTACATTTAGAGCGGATTTGTTCTAACTGCTGCTTTTGAAACATAGGATCGCAGGTTCTAACCGTTTACAAGGCCGGGAAATCTGATAAGGTTGAAATAGGTCTCCATCCACTACTCGCTATGTGATAGCAGCCAGAATGGGCATGGTCATGGTGAATATCCGTCAGGGTACTCAACGCTACAATCCAGTATCACTTAGATAGTCAGGTGACTATTCCATTACAAACTTTTGAGGGTTGTAAACCCATTGTTTCAGTTCTCTGCTGGATTTTGATTGGTATACGCTCATTAGGCACCCCAGTAAATGATAATCAATCCGTCAGCAGTTGTGCAACATTCATTAAATCAGCATCTCACGACTAAAGAGATGTGTTTATAGACCCACGAATGGTTAAGTCAGGATCTAGTGCGATGGTGATGTTCTTTGAAAAGCTATGAGTGACTTCCTGAGAAAGTGCGGAAGGCTGAAGTGATGATATCTATATGAACGATGGAATTGTGATAAGCAAACAACCAAGACTGTGCTAAACAAACTACTGTGCTGCGCGTAGTAGACTACCGTAGGTCTACGCAATTATAAACAATCCCAGCACTACACCAACACGACGATACAGTGTTAATTTATCATCAAACATCAGTTAGGCACATGGTTAGCGGCATCCGGTTTCGGATTTGCCTGTCACTGTGGCAAGCCACAGGACGCCTGCGCCTACAGAGGGACCATGGATGGCTTGCGCTGCACCACCCACAGCACCAACCACATACCCCATATCCAGTGTAAACCCGAAGGAATAAGACCGGGAGGCATGCGGATGGGAACCACGTTTCATCAACGGAGCCGGCCCACACTCCTTCATAGGCAAACACAAGCACGCTGTATTTGGGGAATCAACCGCACACAAGACGGTGGCTCGACCGTAGTCCGCTCCACACTGAGTGCATGGAACCGCTCTTTGAGCCTAGCACGGCCACAAGAACCGTGCACCCCGTCCCCTCCAGCAACGACCAACTGTCTCCTGGAGCCAGTATGAACGATGTAGTGGGTAATAGACAGGTAGGCAGCTTGTCAACATACACATCAAGCGCAACCATACCAGGGATATCAAACTACAGCTATTCAATTTAAACGACAAGCTGAAATAAAATAAATCCAATAATGCATACAGATACGGTGGCATAGCTCTTCGCTAAATTACCATATGAAGTAAGTTGGTCAGCAACAAATCCGTGATAAGTAAGAAATGTCCACAAGTTACTTAAAATGCTACAAACGCAACAAAATTACCGAAGATAAGCGCAATTAGTGTAAGCAACGTGGCCAGTTAATAGAACATTATTCAGGGAGGC